GGGGAGGGGGCGGGCTCACAAAGACTGGGGCGCCAGTGGGGGGGGATTCAGCTCCGGACCCCCACACTCAGAGCGGCCGCGCCCAAGCTGGAGGTAAAGTGAGAGCTGGTACCTGCTCTGCTAGCTCTCGCCTCCCAGTTCCTCGGCCTGGATGCAAACCTAGCACCGCCACCCACCACCCTGGGAAGCCTGGTTGCCCCCCAGGGCAAGTTCTTGGGGTGCCTGGTACGAAGGTTGCCATCAGGACCACAGCCTGGGAGCCTGGAATGCCTGTTTCTCGAACTTGAAACCGGGCCTAAAGGGTGCCACGTGCCTAAAGGTGGGGCTCGGGAGCCAGGATTTGCCAACAAAGGGAGGCTGTCGACCGACCACTGGTAATTTGGAGAGAGTGGAGATTTTCAGCGCACCTGGATTCAAATAACTAACTCCCCAGGAAAGGCACTGACTGAGGCTTACCTGGAGCTGCACAGTTCTTGATTGGTTTTCTAGACAAATGATTGGAAATCCAGGGATTGCCAACGTTTTCCCCACACCCATGTGTTTCAGCATGTTGGATATTTGCAAGGACTTCAAGACATCTCTTGTCTATCCATCACTTCAGAGTTCCAGGCAATAAGCTCAGAAATGACCTCTCAGTACTGCGTCCTTTCATGGATCAGGCACTGCCTTACAGGTGTTTTGAATAATTTCATTCGTTCGCCCCAAACATTTTAATACTGCCATCTCCTTTCTTTTCTTTCTTTCTTTTTCTTTTATTTATTTATTTATTTTTTACTATCATGAAACCAAGGACTCAGGACTCAGAAAGAAAGGGTCAAATCCCTCAAGTCCATATACGGAGCAAAAAGGAGTAACTTACATTTCTTTCTCGATCTCGTCTTATGCCTCTCCATATATATACAATACTAATGTCAAGTTCTATTCTAGAACAATATAGGTAGAATTTCTTTAAGTGGCAACTGCATTCTCAGCCATAAGTTATGTTTTCTCTAGGGTACCTCAAAGCAAATCATATTGCCCTGAAAGATAATTAAGAATTCTGTGGAATGTTCACCTCAGAGGCAGGATTTAAAATGCCATGGTGAATGTGGTGCTAGAGCTTCAAGGAGCTTATATAGAAATTACAGGAAGTCAAGCGGGTGGCTCATGCCTATAATCTTAATTACTCAGAGGCTGAGACCTGAGGATCTCATGCCATAGATAAATCTACAAAAAGGTAAAATCCCTCTCCCTACAGGACAGGTCATGTGTTTAGAGTGTAGAGATGGGAAATGCATATTACAACCTGCACAAATATGACACCAATGCTACTATACCAAAAAAGGAACTTGAAGCAGTATGTTCAGTTAAGAAATGACTACAAGAAACTAGGTAAGGTATGATGGTAGCCTAGACCAGGCTAGAGGCAAGAACTGACTATCAGAAACATCTAAACTTGAAACGCATTACAACCCAGTAGAGTGAAGAAGAAATGGACAACAGAAAACAGACTTTGATCCTGTGTGATGATGTTTTGATGGCACTTAGAAATGTTATCCTAGAGCTGAGAGAGGGGAGACTGGCAATCATTAATGAAAAGGTAGAAATTATGTTTTCATGTTAAATGAACTACTTCAGGAAAAAGAAAACTGGAGCAATAGGAGAGAAATTTGGTATTTGAATGTGGCTCAACAAAGAGACGACTGAAAAGTAGAGAGAAGAAGGAAAATTGGACAAAGGGAGTCATGGAGGTCAAGAGGGAAGTGTTTGAGGAGTGACTGGTATCAACTGTCAACTTCCAAGCAGAGCCTAAAGAGGGGAAAAAACCCTAAGAAGTGTCTTTTGGATGTTAGTAAGTTAGGAAGACCACCCAACAGAGCACATATTCTTTTCCATTTTACATGCATGGAGGTTTATTCATTTCTCTATGATCTGACAGTTGATTATTGACAACTAGGATCCAAGTCAAGTTTGTCTGGTTACAGAGCCTACATTTCCCATGCCACTCTTCTGCTCTGAGTCAGCTCAAGGATAGAAATACCCAATTGCTTTACTTCTCTTGTGACACCATTTGGGTGCTCTTATCAACTTGTTCACTGTCTTCCATGTTTATATCAAGTGGTCAAAATCTGTGTTGAAATGTAATACTCGAGCTGAGCCAAGCAGTCCTGAAATACTCTTCCCCTTAGTCCTCCTTTAGTACTTTCTTCCTTTCTGTGCCCCAGACTTCTCCATTTCTATTTAGATGGCAGCACCTCAATATGCAGCAGATCCAATTGTGTGTATCTTAGATGCTGTTCTTAGAGCACATCCTGCTCCCAAGACCCAGATCCCATATATGGAACTCGATTGGGATTCCTAGTTGCAGGGATTCCTAATAAGCATCCTTTTCAGTTGATTCAGGTCCTTGCCATATAGTTGCTTTTAACAAAAGAAAATAAGATTCAAGTAGCAAGACAGGTGCTCAGTGAACACAGGCTATTCCCAATAATTAGCATACTCATGAATTGTTCACAAAACTCCTGTTTAATTATGTAAAACAGATATTTATTCATCCTCATATTTGCTTCAGAGACAAGTCTAGTTCACCTGGACTAAGAAATTAGACATGACTTACGGCTCATGTTCTGTGACAACCACATTCACCCTGGGCATCAGTCATCCTTTAAATCTGTAAACTTCATCCTTTCCTATTTGGAATGAATTTTTCTTGAAATGAAATGAAAGTAATTGGGAATTGAATAGTACCACTTTGTATCAGAGTCTGTTATCATTGAACTATTACCCCACGGAGGAAATTGTTCTGGTATGTTCAAAATCCTTATTTCTCCTTATTGGACTGTCTGGGTGACTTCCTGGCTTTCTGATTGAAAACTACAAAGTTACAACTCTCATTTCTTTTACTCTAATGACAGTAGAGATTTTTTAACTTTAGCATTTAAAAGCTACACACTTACAAGGAATATACTGAAAGGACAGAAGATGATGTTCTGGATCAAAGGACCTGGCACTCCTTTGCTATATCTTCTTACCAGATACTCCTTGTTTCATATTTGTATATCCAGAGAAGAGGCCAGAAGAGAGAACAGAGGTCAGATTTCTGTTGAATGAGACTGAGAAAAATGGAGACCTCAGCCCCCTTCATCACAAGATGAATTACAAAAACAACAACCCTATGTATATCCTTGTAGCTGATGCCCCTCACCCTGGCTGGATCTGAGCAAAGCAGCAAAGCAACTACTGTTGTCATCATAGATGCTCTGAAGAAAGAAGAGAATGATAATGTCACAGGTTGGATGGACAGTGCCGAATATCCAATTAGCTAAAGAGATGCCAGGGAAAAAAATCCAAATAACATATTTCCTAATCTTCCACAGTAGGCTTCCATCCTTTGTGCTGAAAATCAACCTAGAGCAGGTTGACTTAACCTCAGGTGCATGATTATTAAGAGAAAAGACATCATGTTCAGTTATGGTTTAAACTATAGGTATTAAGCACTTAAGAATTTCAACAATCTCTTTCTCTGTTTAGTAATAAATGCTTTTGACAAAAATCCTGCACATAAAGAGGAGAAAAAAGTTAGATAAAAGTTAGCCAGTAAGGAAAAAAGAAGGAAGAGAAAGAAGGAGGAATGGAGGGAGGCAGAGAGAGGGATATAGGAAGAGGAGAATCTGGAGAACAAGGGAGAAGAAGGAAAGGAAAAAGAGATCAGTCAATTGTGCTGCCTCTTTGGCCTTATTCACAAGACCTATGTTTATCTCAGGTCTTCATTCTGTCAAAGGAACATGATCAGGTTAGCTGCTGAGTTTAATGCTTAATCATATTTAATCAACTAATACATTAATCAAATGTCTATTGAATGCCCACTAAATGCAAAGGTTTTTTGGTACAACTTCTCTGTTGGCTCTTAAGTTTTATATTTAAGCTTTCTCTTCGTATATCTTACATGAATTAATCAAGTAATTACAATGCAAGAGAATTGCTATCTTTTAGCACAAATGTCATTTTCTTCAAATATTTTTCACATATTAGTCAAAACTTTATCCTCTGTGACTCATTTCTTTTTTTTGGGGGGGGGGGTCTGGTCATGGGGCCTGAACTCTGGGCCTGGGCGCTATCCCTCAGCTCTTCAGCTCAAGGCTAGCGCTCTACCACTTGAGCCACAGCGCCACTTCCGGCTTTTTTCTTTTTGCTTATGTGGTGCTGAGGAATCGAACCGAGGGCCTCGAGCATGCAAGGCAAGCGCTCTACCACTGAGCCACCTTCCCAGCCCCTATCCTCTGTGACTCATTTCTATTGCAAGTTTTCTTGCTTTCTTTTAATTTTCTTCTTTCTCAATTCTTTTCTATAAGTCCATTCTGCAGAGCATTTTTTCATCAAGAAGCAAAATAGAATCTGGAATCCTAGAGGTTTATTTCAAGTTATTATAATTATTATACTTATTTTTACCATAGTTTATTTTTAGCTCATGCTATGTGCCAGACACTCTTAAAATGTTCTAAACATCTTAGCTCATGTCGTCTTCATAACAATCCTACGAGGAAGATGTTATTACACTCACTTTTAACTGTGGAAACATAAGCACAGATATTAAGTAGCCTG